GCTACCATGATCAAATATTCCCTCATGTGATAAAGCTGCACACAGTTAAGGCCAATGTTCCGGGCCCCTCTACGCAGTCCCAAGCATTGTACCCATCTCCACTCACCAACGCGTTCCTGATCTCCTCTCTCGTTGGCTGCATAAATCCCAGCTTGTATTTCCTCTTGCTCAAGCAAATCAATGTAGCCCAGCTCCTGAGATGACAAAGAGGGCTTTTGCCAAAATTAATAAGAACAGAGGTGGCCTGATAGGATGACACTTAGCCAGCGGAACTCACTACAAGAAGACTGGGAGGTGCTTAGGCATTGCATGAAAGGCCGACGAAGGCTAAAGAAGGTAATTGGCCAAGCTCCTATGCTGCTGGACACTGGCAGAGTCTCCTTCCCAATCACTTTGGGACAATGACACTGCCCTTCAAAACCCTTGGTAAGGAGAGTTGATACTTTCAGGACTCCAGACTAGAGATGTGAACCCGGAAAAATTCGGGGAAAAAACTGGGTTTTTTCCCCTTGAAGCCTTTTTTTCCAAAAAATTGGAAAAATTGAAAAAAGGGAAAAAAAATGATTATGGAACATTTTATTTTAACATGATGAATAAAATATTTTAAGACAAGGTGTTCAAATATTTTCCAAATTATTTCTTAAAAATATGGATGGTATCAGATTGATCTAATTTCTGTGCACGGAGGACAAGCAAATCCTAGGTTACAAATTGAACTCTCCAATGCAAGAACAAGATGCATTTCTTCCTTTAGGAGGTGCTATTGTCACAAGAAAAGAAAAAGGTTTCAGTTTTGTTTTTGCATGTGGGAGGGTATTCTGTTTGTAATAATTGTTTGGATACACTATATTTTTAATATGCTAGTTGTGATAATTTTAGTCATATTTTATGTTCCTAAAGTAACAGAATGACTTTCAATCTAGAAAAGACAAAATAAATGCTAATGTAGCATTTTTTTCAATTTTTCCGAAAATTTCCGTTTTTTCAAAAAAAAAAAAACCTGGGGAAAAAAGGTTTTTTTTCCGAGCTTCAAAATTTCCGGAAATTTTACATCTCTACTCCAGACACATTTGGTTGCCAACCACATGAAGTAATCTTGTAACATGTAGGGATGGCTGTTTACTTGCTACTAGCGGCACTCACTTGAGCGGCAGAGGAAGTGGTGGTGGTGGTGTGAAAATCAGTGCAATTCAATACAACAATGTCACTTCCGGGTGGGACCCAGAAATGACAGCACTGCATCATGTGATGCTCTAGGAATCCCTTCAAATCTCTGTGGTCTTTTCCGTGGACATCAAGGAACGTCCTAATGTGCTGAGCAATGTGGTTGTGTCACTTCTGAGTCTCCACCCAAAAGAGATATCTCCATGTTGAGTGGTGCTGGTTTTGTAAGTCCCCCCCCCCATCTCCTGTCGGTGGACAATGGCGGGCCGGCAACCCCTACTTTCATCCCACCTTAAGGCTACTACAAACTGTTTCCCACTTGATTTTCTGGGTACAAATCAAAGTGCTGGTCTACAACGCCCATAAATGGCTCAGGTCCAGGGTACCTAAAGGACCGCCTTCTCCAATACAAGGTTGACCAATTGAGTAGATCATCTCGGGAAGTTCTGCAAATTTCTAGTTTGCTGATATCTCAGAAGCCCGAAGAGTGACGGCTGGGATAGGGCAGGGCCTTACTAAGTTCCCGGTTTCTCTCCTGAGCACATTCAGTAAGGTTATGCATAACAAAATACAATACAAAAATAGTATCCATTTGGAATAACTCATGTCCTCTCCAGGAACCTCTGGTCCCATTAACCTGAAGAAGAGAAGCAGCAAGGAGATGAGGTGACTAAGGAGAGGCCACACTGACCCCATCCAGTGTTCCCTCTAAGCTGAGTTAGTGTGAGCTAGCTCACCGTTTTTTAGCCTCTGGCTCACACCTTTTTGTCTCAGCTCAGGAAGGAGGGCTCCAGAGCAAACTAGTTTATGCAGCAGCCAGATTGCTCGCTCACCACTTTAATGCCAGCAGCTCACAAAGTAGGATTTTTGCTCACAAGACTCCACAGCTTAGAGGGAACATTGACCCCAACCGCCCATCCATTCCCCCCTGCCACCCATCTACCCATTCCCTCATTCCCCGCCTTACCAGCGCTTTCTGTTCCCGGTCGGCACTCAGCTGATCCAAGTACCAGTCTGCATTCTCTCGCTGCAGGTTTCTCAAGGCCAAGGTGGGATCCCGCAAAGCACAGTACAAGGCCTGGGGATCCTGTCCCTCTAGGGTGTCATCCACCAACTCTAGAGCACCTTTCACTGTTTAAAAACAAAAATCACGACAGGCGTTGGTAGATCTGACCACAAGTAAAATTCCCTTCTGTTAAGAATCTTAGCAAGAGAGTATATGTGCTATATCAGAAGGGCCCTAGGAAGAAGAATCTGACAGCAGAACTGGGAGAGCCTTTGAAAAAGCGCCAGCACTCCAGACAGACAGACGGTCCCCAACCTTTCCACACCGAGGACTCACAGAGCTCCAAGCTTGTGAATATATCATTATCAGAAGAAGAGATTGGATTTATACCCCGCCCTTCACTACCCGAAGGAGTCTCAGAGCAGCTTACAATCGCCTCCCCTTCCTCTCCCCACAACAGACACCCTGTGAGGTAGGTGAGCCAGTTTGGTGTAGTGGATAGGGGCACGGACTCTAATCCGGGAGAACCAGGTTTGATTCCCCACGTATTGACTTATTATTCTCTTCCGAACACACCTGAACACATGAAGCTGCCTTAGTTTGGTGTAGTGGTTAAGAGCAGCAGACTCTAATCTGGAGAACCGGGTTTGATTCCCTACGCCTTCACATGCAGCCAGCTGGGTGTCCTTGGGTCAGTCACTGTTCTCTCAGAGCTGTGCTCTCAAGGGCAGCCCTCAAAAGAGCTAGCTCAGCCCCACCTACTTCATGGGGTGCCTGTTGTGGGGAGAGGAAGGGAAGGACATTGTAAGCCGCTCTGAAACTCCGTGTGAAGGGCGGGGTATAAATCCAATCTCTTCTTCTTCTTCTTCTTCTAGGTGGGGCTGAGAGAGCCCTGAGAGGGCTGTGACTGACCCAAGGTCACCCAGCTGGCTTCATGTAGAGGAATGGGGAATCAAACCCAGATCGAGACCTACCACTTTTAACCACTACACCATACTGGCTCTCCTGTGACATCAACACCATACGACAGGAAGATGAGGAACCGGATTTATGACCCATCTGGCATCAAGGCCAGGATTGTAGTTAGCAGGAGACAATAAGAAGTACCAACTGGGAATGTGGGACTATCTGCAGTGAGGAACAAGTGAGGACTGGAGGAATTGTCTGGACGGCCAAGTTGCTTCATCTTGCTCCTCTACGTGTGTTTGCAAAGAGAAGGGAAGCAACATGGCACCCTTGCTCTCCACGCATGCACAACAGCAACAAGACCTCCCCCCCCCAAAAAAAAAAAGTGAAGAAAAATGGTGGCTCGCCAGGCAATGTTCCCTCTAATTTTTCCCCCCTACTGAGTGGAGCTATTCAATTCCTGAGCAGAATATAACTGCTGTAATCTTAAAATGGGCAATGGGGCAGTGCAAGACCCTGCGCGGCTCCAGATTGCTGCTGAGGGGGGCTTCCTGTGTTAATGAGCGGCTGCCCATGCACACCACTTAGAGGGAACATTGCACAGGGGCTTGTAGCCCACCTGAGTAACCTGAGCTGCAGGGTGAAGACCACTGGAGTAGACGGCATCACACTAGATGCACCAGTCAGATTCAGACTGAAATGATTTATCGGGTTAGATCTGTAATCCTGCCCACTCCGGTTTTGTCCTGCCCCTCCTCTAAGGAACTCAGGATGCTGGACATGGTTCTCCTTACCCCCTTTCATCCTCACAACCATCTCCCTTGTGAGATAGTCAAGGCGGAAGGAGACTGACCATCCCAAGATCATGCAGGGAGCTTCATGGCTCAGTGGGGTTTTGAACCTGGGTCTCCACAGCCACCACTCTAACCACGATACTACACTCACTCTCGTAGCACAGCAGATCCTAGAGAGCCAGTTTGGTGCAGTGGTTAGGAGCTCAGACTCTATTCTGGGAGAACCGGGTTTGATTCCCCACTCCTCCACATGCAGCTGCTGGTGTGACCTTGGGTCAGTCACAAGTTCTTTCAGAGCTGCTCTCTCAAGGGCAGCTCTCTCAGCCCCACCTACCTCACAGGGTGGGTTGTGGGTTGTTGTGGGGAGGGGAAGGGAAAGGAGATTGTAAGCCACTTTGAGACTCCTTCGGGTAGTGAAGGGCAGGGTATAAATCCAATCTCTTCTTCTCCAATCCCCAGCATCTGAGGTAGAATGCCTGAGAAAGAAGTCTGCCTATGGCCTTGAAGAGGGAAGGTCCATTGCTTAGGAGGGAAACTGTGGTTTGCCTCCTGGACGTCCAAAAGCTCCAACCACATTTTGGGCTCTAAATTATATTGCAAATCATCATCATTATTATTTTAAATCAATGCAAACCACGCTTTGGTGCCAAGCCTGAACTGAGTCTATGACTTCAAATTGTGCTTTTCTCATGATAACTGTTTCTCAGAGGGCCACCGCTCTGCTTACCGTTAACTTTGTTGATGTTGCCTTGTATCTCAGCCTGCGTTAGACACCGATCATAAATGTCTTCGCCTTCGGGAATCCCTTTCAAGTTCTGATTGGGGTGGGGGGAAGGGAACAGAGAGGCAAGAAGCTGTAAGCTCTGCATTGAAACAGCCCTACTCCTGATCTCGCAAAATAATAACTAAACGGGATTATTGGCAGCACACTGTGAGCCAAGGGAGTGTTTCTATGGTTGCTAGCGGCAGAGCTTGCTGGTACATCTTTTAAAATGGCCAAGATTTCTCTGAAGTCTTGAAGTGGTCTAAGACACGGAGACCTTTGGATACCTTCCTGCTTTCTAAGCATATCCCTATTGAGGCAGCTTTATAAAAGAACCCCACCCCTTTCCAAAGCTTGGAGTAAAGCCGGAGGGCAGGGATTGGCTCTAGAGCCGTAACAGGCTTTGCAAGAGCTCCATGTACCTCCGAAGCTCAGCCTGATATCGGAAACAGAACACACTTGCTCCCGAGACTTTGAACTGAGGACTGGAGTTGGCCTACTGAGACAAGGCCTTGCCCCTCCCCCTTTAGGTCTTTGACAATGACAAATTTTGGCAGGCTACGAGGGCCAAGCTGCACTTGTGGTGATGGAAAGTGATGTCAAGTTGCTGTCCACTTAACGGTGACCCTGAAGGGTTTTCAAGGCAAGAGACGAACAGAGATGGTTTGCCATCGCCTGCCTTTGCGTGAGGACCTTGGACTTCCTTGGCAGTCTCCCATGAACTCCTTTGCATATTAGGCCACACACCCCTAATGTAGCCAATCCTCCAAGCGCTTACAGAGCTCTTCTCACAGGGGCTACTGTAAGCTCTTGGAGGACTGGCTACGTTAGGGGGGGTGTCGCCTAATATGCAAAGGAGTTCCTGCTACAAAAAGAGCCCTGCGAGTCACATCCAAGGACTAACCAGGGCTGACCCCGCTTCTGATGAGATCAGGCTAGCCTGGGCCATCTAGGTCATTTGTGGACCCGACGCTAACAGTAACTCCAGTCATATTCCTTTACACAAGAGAAGTGGGCTGTTAAAACTAAACACTGGCATTTAAACCAAACCTATATCTCTGCTTACCCGGTTCTTCGCATTGCTGGCCTTGTCCACCTTGGCCCGATAGAGCACCTCCTGATAGACCGCAGCGAAGTTGTCCCGAAGGTTGCACAGCATGGCACTGGGGTTGTGTAGGGCCATCATGGTTTGCGCCACAATCCCTGCCTCCACCGCTTCGTTGATAGCAAGTACTGCAGCGTGCACTAGACAATGAAAAGAAGAGAGAGAAGAGATAGATTAGATTTATACCCTGCCTTTCACTTCCCAAAGGAGTCTCAGAGCGGTTTATAATCTCCTTCCCTTCCCTACAACAGACACCCTGTGAGGTAGGTGGGGCTGAGAGAGCTCTTTCGAGGACTGCCCTTGAGAGAACAGCTCTGAGAGAACTTGTAACTGACCCAAGGTCACACCAGCAGCTGCATGTGGAGGAGTGGGGGATCAAACCCGGTTCTCCCAGATTAGAGTCCATGCTCCTAACCACTACACCAAACTGGCTCTCATAAATTTACAAAGGAAATCTTAGGAAAGAATTAATCCCAATATCCTGCTGTGTAAGGCAGGGTTTCCAAGATGGGGGATGGACAACCCCATGAGCACTGGGTGTGTTCGTTAAGAGAGAAATGAAGATCAGGTTTTGAGGGAGGGAGGTATGCCAAATGTGATTATTATTATTTTTTTCCTACCTAAGAAATCCAGAGTGATGCAGGGGTTAAACTATTAGGCCAGGCAGATCTGGATTCAAATCTTCACTCAGCTGTGAAGCTCATTAGATCTCTAGTCACAGGCACAGGCCTTTTCCCAACCTCAGCTGTCTGGCCTCCTTTTAACCACAGATGCTTGGGACTGAAGAAAAGTAGGTCTTTATATTCCGTAAAGCATCTCGAAGGAGCTTACAATTGTCTTTCATAGAATCATAGAGTTGGAAGGGACCTCCAGGGTCATCTAGTCCAACCCCCTGCACAATGCAGGAAACTCACTAATACCTCCCCACAACACACACACCCAGTGACCCGTTTCATACCCAGAAAATGACAAAAAACCCCTCCAGGAATGATCTCCAGCCAAACTGGCCTGGAGAAAAGTTGCTTCCTGACCTCTTCCTCTCGTCACAACAGGCACCTTCTGAAGTAGGTGGGGCGGAGAGAGTTCCGAGAGAACCATGACCGGGGACTGAACCTACGATCTTTTGCATGCAAAGCAGCTGCTCTGCCATTGGGCCATGGCCCCATTGCAAGGAAGAGGTCTTCTCCTCCACGTACCTGCTGCTTCATCCACGGAGAGCTCGTTAGCGAGAATTCCCCCTATCTTGCTGAACGACGGCAGCTGCAAGCCGTATTTCTCCAGCTCGCACTTCATATGGTTTATTTCCTCATCTGGAACAGAACAAGCAGTCACACTCCAGTCTCCTCTGACTGGCAGGAGCTCTACAGGTAGAGAGCAACTCTTTTCCCAAGCAGTGCTTCCGAAGATCCCTTTCAAATGGGAGATGCCAGGGATTTCCTTTTGCACACAAAGCGCATGCGCTACCACTGAGCCAGGGCCCCGCTCAAACTTCAGAATTGACAGTAAGGCATTTTACACTGAGTCTAGCCCGGGACTGTTTATTACAACTGGCGGTGACACTCCAGCATAGCTAGCAGAGTTGGGCCTTTCCCAGCCTCTGCCTCGTATGCACAAGATCCCTGGTTCAATCCCCGGCATCTCAAGTTAAATAGATCAGGTAAGATAATGTGAAAGACTTTATGTTAAGACCCTGGAGAGCCACTGCCGGTCATAATAGACAAGACTTACCTTGACAGACCAATGGTCTGATTCATGATAAGTCAGCTACGCGTGTTCTGCCTCAGAATCCTCGTAAGCAGAGATGCTGAGGGTCAGCTAGACCCAAAAGAAAACAAAACTGGAAAATTGGATTCCCATTTAAATACCCAGTCATGCACTGCTTTCTAGAGTCATGGCGAACGTAAAATTGTTGTCAAAATGGGAAGCACCCCAAGGGCCCAGCCAACTTTCACATGTATGCATAAAGGTACGGACCACTGGTCTGTCAAAGTCTGTATGAAGCACCCCAAGGGCCCAGCCAACTTTCAGATGTATGCATAAAGGTACCTCCCTACGGACCACTGGTCTGTCAAAGTCTGTGTATTAGATCAAGATGGGTAGCCGTGTTAGTCTGTCTGTAGCAGTAGAAAAGAGCAAGAGTCCAGTAGCACCTTAAAGACTAACAAAACTTGTGGCAGGGGAGGAGCTATTGTGAGTCACCGCTTGACTCATGAAAGCTCATACCCTGCCACAAATTTTATTAGTCCACTGGACTCAAAACTTCGTTCTCACATCTGTTTGTTAACTCTTGTATTTGTATGCTAATTTACTGCCATTCACAGACAATGAAGAAGAAGAGTTTGGATTTATACCCTGCCCTACACTACCCAAAGGTGTCTCAGAGCAGCTTACAAACTCCTTTCCCTTCTGAGGAGTGGGGAATCAAACCCGGTTCTCCCAGATTAGAGTCCGCGCACTTCACCACTACACCAAACTGGCTCTCTGAACAACTGCCTTAATCCAATCTCAGCTATAATCACCCAGTTGCTAATGCATCTTGATTCTAACTAGCCCTTCCTGGCAACTAACCCCCTCCTTCCTATACCCCCATCTTCCTATACATAATCATTGAGAAAATTCTATTTCACTGTACCTGAAGAAGTGTGCATGCACTTGAAAGCGTATACCTTGAATAAAACTTTGTTGGTCTTAAAGGTGCCCCTGGACTCAAACTTTGTTCTGTCTCCATGGAAGGCACCACATTTAACCGTACAGAATGAACATAAGAACATAAGAGATGCCAATGTTGGATCAGGCCAAAGGCCCATCCAGTCCAACACTCTGTATCACACAGTGGCCAGAAATACCAGGTGCCATCAGGAGGTCCACCAGTGGGGCCAGGACATTAGAAGCCCTCCCACTGTTGACCCCCCCAAGCACCAAGATGACAGAAATCCATCAGCTTTGTGAAAGGTGTCTGAAGAAGCGAGCAGTGACTCACGAAAGCTCATACCCTGCCACAAATTTTGTGAGTCTTTAAGGCACTACTGGACCCTTACTCTTTTCTACTGCTTAAGTCTGTATTGTCTGCTCTGGGGACGACTCTCCAGGGCCTCAACTATCCAGGGTCTTTTACATCACCTGCCACCTGACCCTTTTAACTCAAGATGCTGGGGCTTGAACCTGGGACCTTCTGCATGCCAAGCAAGGGCTTCAAGCCTCAGGCCCTCCCCCTCTCCTTTTTTGCACATCTTACCTGTGAAGTTCACTTTCCCATACAAATCCTGGATCTGGGGAGCCAGCCCCAGTTTAAATAGGTATAAACTGAGGAAGAAGAAGAAAAGAATATGGGTTTATTGATACACAACTCAGGTTTTATGTACTAGTAAACAGTCAATCGCCTATGGTGAGCGAGGATAAGTTTCCAGGCGAGTGAGTAGGAAGTTTCCACATATTACATGAGAACTGGGACTATGATCTCACCTGGTCTGGTGCAGTGCCATTCGCCGATGATTGCTATTCATGAGCAGCAAGCAAATTATTTTTTGATCTGCGGGCTAGCCTTTTGTCTTATACAGCGCCAGGGCAACAATATTTTTCCTTACGGCTTGCAGCAGTAAAAGCAAAACATAGTTTGCTGCCCTATGAATCACTGTCCTTGCACACTTCTCCTTCCTCCTCTGTTCCCCTCTCACATGAAGCCAGATAAATTAAAGATTTCTTGGTTTTCCACAAGTGCGTCTGTCGTGTTGCAGCCAACTTATGGCAACCCCGCAGGGCAGAGGTGTTGAATTCATTTGTTACGAGGGCCAGATCCTCCGGTATATATAATTCTATTTTGGTCACGGACTCCCCTGAACATTCCAACACGCTCCAAAATCAGTTCACTCTCTGATCTGTCATTCACTGCCTATCCACTGGCTGCTTTGCCTGAGTCCTGCCTCCAACATTCTAAACAGTTTGCTGTTCCTCTCCCCCCCACAGCCAGTCAGAACACAGAGGTCATTTGCATATGCGGCCTCACTGGCCTTTCCCTCTAACATTCTAAACAGTTTGCTGTTGATGTTCTGAGGTAAAATAAATTTCCCCGTGTCTGTTGGGGGAAACCATGGTTGCAAATCTTCCAGGGGAGGGCTAAAGATCACTCAGAATTACAACTGCTTTCCAGTTGGAAGAGATCAGTTCCCCTGGAGAAAATGGTGGACTCTGTGTCATATCCTGCTGAGATGGCCCCTGTGTGACAGCCAATGTGACGTAGCAGTCATGGCTTCAGCTATTAAAATCAGCTATGGAACTACTTTCCAGACCCTTGGAACCCAGAAAACATGGCACAGGAGGAGGTGCTTTTCTACCTTAGCTGCCACTGCATAACACCCCCCTCCCCCTCAAATAATAAGTCAGAGGTGGAGAGAACCATATCTGTTACCATGAGGCTGTCCTCCCATTCTACCCACTTGGGGCAGCAAAATGACTTGACACAGCCCTGCCTTATAGCTAAGCAGAAGAAAAGAAACATGGCTTGCCTCTCTCCATTTTCTGCTTCCCTCTGCCGCCCCACCAGCCACAGTTGGGACGCTCATCTGAAGCTTCCTTCTAGATCTCATTGTATTTCTTCCCACAACGGGCATTACTCCTAGTCTCACATAAATGTCACTTTGCCGGGCCAGGCCATGTGTCCCATAAAATGTAATGCCGGGTGCCGGAGATATGAACTTTATAAAGGACACAGGCAAACCCAAGTAACGATATTATTTTTTACTCAAAATACAAATAAAGGCAATTGATTCCTGGCAGTGAAAGCAATCGATTTACCGGGGAGCCCACAAAACCTCCGATAACATGTATTTAATCATTTGCAAGACTAGGGTTTTTCCAAAGGATACCACAAAAGGGGGAGCACCCTATATTTCCATACATGCCAATTGCTTGTAGGCCAGGTAAAAGCCCTGGATGGGCCAGTTCTGGCCCCCGAGCCTTATGCTTGGCCCCCCTACATAGTGTTTTCAAGGTAGGACACACAGAAGTCGCTTGCCCTTGCTTGCCTCTGCATTGTGACCCTGGAATCCCCTCGACAGTCTCCCATCCAAATACTAACCAGGGCCTTCCCTCCTTAGCTTTCAGGATCTGATAAGATCAGGCTAGCCTGGGCCATCCAGGTCAGGGTCAATAAACAGCGGTTTGCTGTAATGTCTAAACAGGCAAACTGTGGCTTACATTTCGCTCTAAGGACTGTACCTCAGTCCCAGTTTAAGACCCCGAGTTTGCAGGGCAGGAGCTAGTTCAGATGTAACAGAAAATTACGGATTGCTTGGAAAAGCATGAATTACTAGCGTGCTTTCCTTGGATTGAGGGGTGGCACACACAAAGCTAGAGACTTCTTCCAGGCTCATTCACAAAGCAGTAAACCACAATTCCTTGTTCCCTCTGCTTAACGTACTTAACACAGACAGATCAACCATGAACTGCATGCTCCCTAGTTTAGGGGGGGGTTTGCATTTGTGTGTGTGTGCGCCTGTAAGTCAGGTAGACTTCTGGTGACTACTACTGGGGCATGGAGGATGGGAAAGTGGCTTGATAGCCTGCCTCTGCCTCCTGGCCCTGGTATTCTTTGGAGGTCTCCCTTCCAAGTACTTGCCAGGGTCAGCCCTGTGTAGCTTCCGAGATCTGACGAGAGCGGGCTTGCATGGGCTATCTAGGCCAGGGCGCACACTCTCTAGTTTAGAACCTTAACCATGGTATGCATTTCCATGCATACCATGGGCTAACCATGGTTCATATCTGCAAGACTGGTTGTTTTCTGTCTACTCAGCACTTCCATGTAGATGGAACAGGACCTCAACAACCAAACAAAGGGAAGATTTTTGAAAGGATGCCTCCAGATATCGTCTCACCTCAGAGCGTGAATACAATAGACGACCCGAGGCATGTTTTTCTTGTCATAGATGTCTGTCGTCTCAGGGTGGAAGATCTGTTGAAAGCAGGAGAAAGAGGAACCTGAAAACACCCTTATTCAGAATTTAAATAATAAAAATATTCTTTCAAATTAACAGGCCCAACAGGGTGGAATGTGGTGTCCATTACCGTTGGTAATCCAATGTGACTCATAGCATCCCTCCAGTAGTTGATGTTGTCTGTGTGACGGTAGTGGAGTCCACACGCCTTTAGATTTTAAAAAGAAAGGAGAAATGCTTCGATTCAATGCTCAGACTGAATTAGAATTGAGTATATGAAGCAACAATGCATGGAATTAAATCATTGGTCCATCTTGGATTTGTATCCTGCCCTCCCCACATAACAGGCCCAGGGTGAGTTCCATCAAATATATATACAAACAATTAAAAGCCTCAACAGATGTGGCCTATCACAATTTTGGGTTTCAGATGTTATAGAGATCTGATCCACCAAAGGGGAGGCCCAATAGAGGACGCCCGTTGCCTCAACTAACAGCCTGGTGGAAGAGCTCCGTCTTGCAGGCCTTGTGGAATTGTAAAGAAGGACGCCCGTCACCTCAACTAAAAGCCTGGCGGAAGAGCTCAGTCTTGCAGGCCTTGTGGAATTGTAAAGGACACCCGTCACCTCAACTATAAAAGCCTGGCGGAAGAGCTCTGTCTTGCAGGCCTTATGGAATTGTAAAAGGTCCTGCAAGGCCCTGATCTCATATGGGAGCTCATTCCATTAGGTAGGGGCCAAGGCTGAAAACACCCTGGCCCAAGTTGAGGTAAGACGAGATCTGATCCACCAAAGGGGAGGCCCAATAGAGGACGCCCGTTGCCTCAACTAACAGCCTGGCGGAAGAGCTCCGTCTTGCAGGCCTTGTGGAATTGTAAAGGACGCCCGTCACCTCAACTATAAAAGCCTGGCGGAAGAGCTCTGTCTTGTAGGCCTTATGGAATTGTAAAAGGTCCTGCAAGGCCCTGATCTCATATGGGAGTTCATTCCACCAGGTAGGGGTCAAGGCTGAAAAAGCCCTGGCCCAAGTTGAGGTAAGACAAATGTTTCTGGGGCTGGAGACCACCAGCAGATGCTGATTAGCAGATCGTAACGCTCTTTGGGGCTCATAAGGGGAGAGGCAGTCTCACAGGTATGCAAGCCCCCGGTGGCTCAATACTCTCAACTGTGTAGGGCAGAGATTCGCCAGAGTCTTCTGAAGTTGCCACCCTGAAAATAGGTAAGATTGGCAGCTGCCTATTCACACACATCGTCTGTGTTGGCTCCCACTTTGGGGAACGGCCCACAGAGTCTGGAGAATGTGTAAAACAGAAATGTTATGAAGAGCTTTCTTATAAAAAGGGATTAGAACCACAGTATACTGGAAAAGCTCAGGAGGTCAATTTTTAAATAAAGGAATAGGACTGCCCTCTACAGCAATGTCTACTGTATGTATCATCTTCTTTTTACTGCACTGTCTTCTCCTTTTGTAACCTACTTTCTGCGTTATGGAATGTCACCCCTTAGACAGGGTTCTTGTTTGCTTGCTTGCTTTGTTTTCCTCTTCTTTAATCCTAGTTTTGCTGCATTGTTTATTGAACACCTCATATGGTCTAACTGATTTTTTTAATTTCTGCATTGAGCCTTGATGAGACAGGCATGCCTTAAATGAAGAACATAAAAAATAAAAAGTTAAGCAGAGAAAGGGCTTCCTCAACACAGGGTTGCCAGCTCCGGGTTGGGAAATTCCTGAAGTTTGGTGGGGGGGGGGACTTAAGGAAAGGAGGGCGCTCAGCAAGGATGTGATGTCAGAATCCACCCTTCAAAGCTGCCGTTTCCTTCCTCTGTAGCACTGAGATCAGTTGTATTTCCAGGTTATCTCCAGGCCCCACCTGGAGGATGGCAACCCGCCTGGAGATACCAAGATTTGAACCCAGGACCTTCAGCGTGCAAAGCAAGCTTCAGCCACTCAGCTACATCGGAAGAAGCCTTATATTCGAAGAACAACTACAATTGCATTTTAAAGATGTTTGTCGTAATATATCGATTAATGGAGAAACGCCAGAATCATGGAAAGAAGCAATAATTTCATTAATTCATAAACAAGAAACAGACAGAAAAGAAATTAAAAACGATAGACCAATGTCGTTATTAAATGTGGACTATAAAATTTTTGCTTCAATATTAGCAGAAAGACTTTAAAAAATTCTATCAAAGATAATGCACAAGGACCAAGCGGCCTTTTTGCCAAAAAGGCAAATTAAGAATAATTTAAGATGCATTCTGGATGTAATAGAGTATCATGAAGCACATCTGGAAAAACCACTGGCCCTAATATTTTTGGAAGCGGAAAAGGCCTTTGACAACGTTAACTGGAATTTCATGTTGGAAGCTTTGTAAGAGGCACAGGCTGGTGCTAACTTTGTGAAGATGATTCAGGCAATTTATACTAAACAAAAGGCGGTGGTAACAATTAATGGGGAACAGACAAAATACATTGAAATCCAAAAAGGGATGAGATAGGGATGCCGTTTATCACCTTTGTTGTTTATATTTGTATTGGAAATACTAAACGACTCAATAAGAGAAAAGAAGGAGATTATGGGCCTGAAACTAAAAGGAGAAGAATATAAACTGTTGGCATTTGCAGATGACCTAGTATTTATATTGGAGAACCCACTGGAATCAATTCTTACTTTGAAACAAGAACTTGGGAGACTATGGACTTGTAGATGGTTTGAGAATTAATATCATTAAAACTAAGATAATGACCAAAAATATGGAAGAGGAGAGGACAAGTCAACTACAAGAAACATCAGGTTTCCAACTACAGAAGAAAAGAAAATACCTAAGAATTGTAATGACAAACAAATGCAGCTCAATACAAGAGAATAATTATAAAGAATTGTTGAGGAAAACAAAACAGGATCTAGAGAAACGGAAAGACTTACAGATATCTTTGATGGGCCGCATCGCAACAGTTAAAATGAATATACTTGCAAAATGGCTATTTTTATTCCAAACAATTCCCATTCTTCAAAACCAAAAAAACTTCAAGGAACTGGAGCAAGCGTTATCAAAATTTATTTGGCAAGACAAGAGACCCAGAATAAGACTGAAAGCTCTTCA